TAAAAATGGAATATATGTGGGCAAACCAATTTGTCATGTAAGAATACAAGCACCGTTCAGAAAGATTATGGTTTATTATTATTTTTTAAATTATTTTCAAAATTTTATTTATTTAAAAATTTTATTTATTTGTCAGAGAGAGAGAGAGAAAGAGCACAAGCAGAGGGAGTGGCAGGCAGAGAGAGAAGCAGGCTCCCTGTTAGCCACAACACGATGCAGGACTCAAATCCCAGGACGCTGGGATCATGACCTGAGGCAAAGGCAGACACTTAACCCACTGAGCCACCCAGGTGCCCCAAGAAAGATTATGTTCTAATGCTATAGTCTACATGCATTTCTTTGTCTCCTGATAAAACCCAAAGAGCTAAAAGAACTGACCCCTGGAATTTGAAAATATTGCAATACCTGGCAAATTTGTGTTGACTCAGGGCTAAGACTTTTCCTCTGATTTCAGAAACAATTTTGCTTTTGTCTTCAGGTCGACCATGTTCCAGTACATGCTGAATAACGTAATTGCCATACTGATCCTAAGTATAGATATTTAAAAATTACTTTCCTTAAGTCATTCATTAAGAATAATGATTATTCTTTAAAAAGATGTTAAATTATTTTTTCTAAAAATTCAGCAGTATATAGTCAGTAGAACATACCAGGCTTTTTGTCTATGTGTTTCTACAGTGTGTTAATTTAGGAATAAATTATATTTCCCTAAACTTAACAATAAATAGTATTTGCCTATGTTTTGAGGTATTTTCAAAAATACATAAACATTTAAAACTATTAGGGAATTTATACCTGTACCAACTGCTCTGTATGTTGGTGGAGTTCTTCTAAGATAGGTAAGGTCTGCTCTGCAGTACAATGCTCTAGGATGCGCTGGATCACTCTGCAGCCATAAGGATGAGTTGAAAGTACAAACACCTTAAAACAATTGGAAGAAATACATTTCCATTATCTGACATTTTTGGAAAGTTCTATGAGGCAGACAGGTTCCTGATGACATACATGCTGAATTTACTTAAAATAGAAGGGTGGGGAGTCACCTTCAATAAGACCACCACCCTGTTAGTAAAGACTGCAAAGCAGGGCGCTCAATTTAGGAGCTAACGGATATTTTCTTTTCTTGCTCTTTTTTTAAAAAAGATTTTATTTATTTATTTGACACAGAGAGAGAGATCGAGCACACAAGCAGTGGGAGCAGCAGAGGGAGAGAGAGAGAGAAGCAGGCTCTCCGCTGAGCAGGGAGCCTAATCAATGTGGGTCTTGATCCCAGGACCCCAGGATCACGATCCAAGCTGAAGGCAGATGCCTAACTGAAGGCAGATGCCTAACTGACTGAGCCACCCAGGCACCCCTCTTTTTTTTTTTTTTTTAAGATTTTATTTATTTGAGAGAGAGAGAGAGAGAATGAGAAGGATAGGGAGAGAGAATCTGAAGCAGACTCCACACTGAGCATTGCCCGACGTGGGGCTCGATCCCACAACCTCAAGATCATGACCTGAGCTGAAACCAAGAGCAGGATGTTAACTGACAGCCACCCAGGCACCCCAGGAGCTAACAGACATTTTGATCAAAAAGTACCAAACCAGAAGATGAAGGGCATGTAATAATGAAAACAAACAGACTGCAAGGTAAGGGTAGTGCACAATATAATTAGCAGCTATTTATTACTATGTATTAGTTACAAATTGATACTTATTTTCTGTGTTTTATGCTAAAGGATCTGAAGTATTCCTTCCTTTCCTTCTCAAAAATTTGGAAAACACTGTTGGGTTCATAATTCTAAGACCTGTGATCCTAAAGTAGTATTATTAAACTCCTATTTCTACAGTTTTCAGCTTCAAAAAAATGAAGCTATCTATTGATGTACTCTATGGAAGAGGCAGAAATCATTGTATATTTACTGTTTTGTCTCCTATGTTTGTATGACAGTACTGGGTATTATATAACTTGCGACTTATGAAAAATGTGTTAACACTCAAATTCTAAAAGAACGCCCTGCTAACTAATTAGAAGCCAAACATCAATCTTACTTGTCCTTTGAAAGCATCAATGATGAACTGTAGTGACTGTGGCTGAACACATTCAATACATTTTTGTACAACGTGGTTTCCATTCTGATCTTTCACACATTTGAGTACATGACCATCTAGCTCCTTTACCATTTCACTCTGCAAAAAGATGACATTTAAAAAATTACCTCATTAAGCAAGACATCAGGATTAAAAGTACAGAAGTATACTAAAAAATTTCTTTGCAATTTTTTAGATACCAGAGTTTAAAATCTGCCATCCCCAGAAGCCACTGATGGTGAGTATTATCAAAACATTTTTGCAGGATTGTAATGTAAATGACACTTACTGAAAAGTAACCTAGTGATGCTAAATTTGCCATATTTAAACAACTCTCTTCACTGTATACACCTTCTACTCATCTTTCTCAGCTGACAATATATATAATTCAGAATTCTCCACTTTTTCTCTACTTAGCAACCCCCCTTACCTCCAAAAAATAAATTTTTAGTTTTTAAAAGACTTATTACTTATTTAGAGTGCACGCAAGTGGGGGCAAGGGGCAGGCGGAGAGGGAGCCATGTGGAGCTTGATCTCACAACCATCAGAGCATGACCTGAGTGAAATCAAGAGTGGGACACTTAACTGACTGAGCCACCTAAGCACCTCTTTGGAAATGAATTCTAGGGAAATTTTAGATTTTTGTTACTTTAACTGGCAAAAATGACCTCTTTCATTTGTTTCTTTGCTCACTAATAAGGTTAAGCTTATTTACAGTAAGGTTTATTTACTAACTGCATTTTCTTCTAGCTAGTAATCATCATTTTTTAAAATAAAATTGTAAGCATTTATTAAACAAACACCTTAATCCTTAGAGAAAAATATAGGTAGCCACACGATAATCTGTGTGTCTTATTAGTACAACAGGAAATAGTATTGTGAAGAAATGGAGTACACACGTTTAAAGTCTCTCTCACCCAAAGAACTCTCAACTACATACTGATATAATTCTAGAGGAATTGTTAAGCCAAGATATAACACAGATGTTTAGCTATAAACTAAATAACAAAATAAAATATTCTAAAGAATCCAAAAAATACCATTATTAACAGGTTCACGTAAGGCTTATTCCCAGTGATTTATATTTTCAAATATTAAAGACATTTAAGATATCTTTATTATTTATTTATTACTGAAGTATAACTGAGATTTAGTTTCAGGTGTACAACACAGTGATTTAACAATTATACAACTACACATTGCTCATCCCGAACGGTATAGTCACCATAAAACGTTATTACATTACTGACTATATTCCCTATGCTGTATTTTTCATTTCCATGACTTTTTATAACTTTTTTTTTTTTTTTAAGATTTTATTTATTTATTTGAGAGAGAGAGAATGAGAGACAGAGAGCAGGAGAGGGAGGAGGGTCAGAGGGAGAAGCAGACTCCCTGCTGAGCAGGGAGCCCGATGTGGGACTTGATCCCGGGACTCCAGGATCATGACCTGAGCCGAAGGCAGTCACTTAACCAACTGAGCCACCCAGGCGCCCCTCATTTCCATGACTTTTAAATTTTGTAACTGAAAGTTTATACCTCTTAATTCCCTTCACCTGTTGCCTCCCCCACCTGCCACCCACTACCCCTCTTGAGTTTGTTGTTTGTTCTGTTTATCAGATTCCACATGTAAGTGAAATCAAAGGTATCTGTCCTTCCTTTGACTTATTTCACTTAGTATAATGCCTTCTAGGTCCACCCGTGTTATTGCAAATGGCAAAATCTCATTGTTTTTAAAGATTTTATTTATTCATTTGAGAGAAAGAAAGACAGAAAGAGATATCATGAGCAAGGGGGAGGGGTAGAGGGAGAAGCAGACTCCCTGCTGAGTAGGGAGCCCGACGACGCAAGACTCAATCCCAGGACTCTGATCCGAAGACAGACGCTTAACCAACTGAGCCACCCAGGCACCCAAGATCACATTCTTTAAAATATCTTTAAAATGGGCGCCTGGGTGGCTCAGTCATTAAGCGTCTGCCTTCGGCTCAGGTCATGATCCCAGGGTCCTGGGATCGAGTCCTGCATCGGGCTCCCTGCTGGCAGGAAGCCTGCTTCTCGCTCTCCCACACCCCCTGCTTGTGTTCCTGCTCTCGCTATCTCTCTCTGTCAAATAAATAAATAAAATCTTTTAAAAAAATAAATAAATAAAATATCTTTAAAGTATCTAAACCAGCTTGAGACTTATGGTAGAGCAGATATGTAAGCGTCGACAATAATCAAAATTCGTTGATCTTTCCACTGTGACATATCTCCAATTATTCTAGAACTCAGTATTTCCTCCAAAGAATACTATTTTCTTCTCACAAATTTTTACACATAAACACACACACATTCATATATATGTTATTACTGTTTTTATTTTTTAATTCTGGAATTTACTTTATTACACAATAATGTATGTGGGTAGAGAATCAAATGTGATCTCTTTCCAATTTTACTAATTACCAATGCCTTTTAAGAAATAATTATTTCCTTTAAGTTTCACTTAATACATAAACTAGTTATATATATAAAATAGTATCTATTTGGGGTTACGAATTTCATTTCTAAAGTCTGCTTAATCTGCTACAAGAGCCACACTAGTGATGCTTCACATTTTAAAAAGCTAGCAGATCAGCATTTATCCTCATCCTCTTAATATTCTTGTCTATTTCAAGTAATTTTAAAAATTATTCTGATCAGTTATAATTCCCATGAGCACATGACTGGAATTGCATTAATCCTTTCTTAACTTAGAATTTTAATAGACTTTTTCATCCAAGACTACGGTATATTCCCATTTATATGTGTTCTCTTTCCTCTTAAAAACTGTGAATCTTGTTAATAGAATTCTTAGGTTACTTTTCTTATTGAGTGAAATTTTTAAGAACTTTATATAATTTTTAACTGGCATATAGGAATGCAACTGGTTTTAAAATTTTTATTCTTATGCTCGCTTTGGAAGCATATATACCAAAATGGGAATGGTACAAAGATTAGCATGGTGCCTGCACACAGATGACACACAAATCCGTGAAGCGTTCCACATTTGTGTTAACTGGAATTAAAATAAAACTTAAAAATAAAGAGCACTCTACTCAATGAAAAATTTTTTTATTCTTATGATAGAAATGTAAGTACAATCCAAATACACTTTGGAAATAGTAAAAGGTATTCCTGATACTACAGAAAATCAAATAAGCAAGTGTAGCAAAAATACCCATCATTTAGCATTCTGCTTACCACACAGGAGGCACTCAAATATCTTCATTTAAAGATGAAAAGATGCTGAAGAAAATGAAGAGGACAGAACAAAGATCCACTGTGTAACAATTAATAATGTACTGTTTGAGACAGATTTTTTAAAGTATTTTATTCTAATTGTGGAAATATTTAATGTTTCACTCTAAGATTCTAACATAATAAAGTAGTAATTTAAAAACCAAATAAAATACAAAAATTTTGTCTTAACTTACAATTACCTGCTGGTCAGATGAAATAGACTCCAACGCTTTCTGAATAACACGGCAGCCATACATCTGCAAGGCTAAAGGCAGAACATGACCACGAATACGAGTAGCGAGGGCTAATTTTTGATCCAAACTCCCAAACTGATGGAAAAAAATTAATATTAATAAAAATAACCATATTATTTTGTTAAACCTGAATAACCCGCTTTTTGCAGCCTATTCACTATATTTTAAAAATATCACATTTGGTAATCATGTAGGAAGGAGGATTTAGGTAAAAGCTAATAAAAGATAGATCCAGAGCAGCCTGAAGTAACTGTCCTGCTTGTTTGTGGGGTTAAGTCTCACTATCTAAAATTTCCTTGTTACTCATACATTAACCACCCGTTATTCTTTTAAAATAAACATCTTTACTCTTCATTTTAAACAATCTCTTCATCTTTAACTTCTGAGCCATACATTCAGACCAGATAATTCTCAACTACATTCTGATGTTAACTGTGCAGGAACCTTAAGCCAAGCTATAATACAGAAAGTTATAAACTGAAAATTAGCTAAATCACAAAATACATGACATCTAACAAAATCAAAAGGACTATACTATTATTAATTTCTTCACCTACGACTTACTCCCAATGCTTTATATTTTCAAATGTTAATCAGGTTAATATTAAACTTCTCATTTAAAGTAGGCCCATGTATTTTAAAACTATTTTTGTGATAAAATATATAGCATAAAATGTCATTTTCACTATTTTTAAGTGCATAATTCACTGGCATTAATTATATTCACAATGTTGTGCAATCATCATCACAGTGTTTCTAAATCTTCCCTGTTGTCTCAAACAAAATGCCGTATGCATTAAGCAGTAACTTCCCACTTCCCCCAATACCTGGTAAGCCCCAATCTACTTTATGTCCCTATCAATTTGCCTTTTCTAAGTATTTCATATAAGTGAAACTCTACGGTGTTTGTCCTTTTACATTTGGCTTATTTTACTTAGCTTCATCCATGTTGTAGCATGTAACAGAAATTCATTCCTTGCGGTTGAATAATATTCTATTGTATGCATATATCACATTTTGTTTATCCATTCATCTGCTGGACATTTGGGTTGTTTCTATCTTTTGGCTATTGTGAATGATGCTGAAACAAACACTAGTGTTTGGAGTCCCTGTTTTCAATTCTTTTGGGTGTATATACAGAAGTGGAATTGCTGGGCTGTATGATAATTTTGTTTATTTTTTAAGGAACTGCCAAATTGTTTTTCACAACAGCTACACCATTTTACATTCCTATGAACAATGTACGAGGCTTCCAATTTCTCCACATTCCCACCCACATTGGTTATTTTCCGTTTTGTTTTTTTTTTTTCATTACAGCCATGCTAGTAGACGTAAAGTAGAATCTCACTGTGGTTTTGATCTGCATTTCCCTAATGACTAAGGTTGTTAAGGATGTGCAATTATTTTCTCCCAAGCTCATTCATATATATATATATATATATATATATATATGTATGTATGTATTTGGGTTTTTTTAAAAATTTTATTTATCTATTTCAGAGAGAGAGCACAAGCAGGGGAGGGGCAGACTCCCCACTGAGCAGGGAGCCCGAGGTGGGGATCAATCCCAGGACCCTGAGACCATGACCCGAGCCAAAGGCAGACAGATGCTCAACGGATTGAGCCACCTAGGCACCTCCCAAGCTCATATATTTTTATATGAAAATGACTCTTACCAACTTTCTGGATTTTTCTAAGCATTAAAAACATATAGTTGGATAGATGTACAAACATGTATGTGTGCTTACCTCAAAAAATTTCTGTATAACATAGTTTCCAAAAACATCTGTCATTAACTGATAGGCTGCTTGTAGAATTTCATTAAATACCATCTGTCGCTCAGCTGGAGTAGCTCTCTCTAGTTTTTGCTGAATGAACCTATGTAGAAAAATTGTACATGCCATGACAGCACACTGGAAACACGCTTCTGTAAAAATCTGACTTGAGATTTACATATCCCCACATATATACACATAAAATTATTTCCAGAAATAGTACTAATGCATTTAGTACTGTGAACAGCCAATTTAAAGCAAAGAAGACAAAAGTTATGAAGCATTTCTTTATAACACCTTAATTATTTTTTTCCTGTAGAACACCTTAATTTGAAATAACTACTAGTTAGGTAAACAGTCTGGACATAAAGAGGTTTAACACTTAAGTTAGTTCTGGTTGCATTATAATCAATGAAGAAAAATTAGATTTTATTGGTTATTCACATATTTTTTCATAATATTACTAAATAATATCTAAGTTTAGAGAATAAAAGAGGCTCTTACAAATAAATTCTTAGCCACTGTGAGTGATACAAGGTTGATTTGCTACTCTTAAGAATTTTCAAACATAGGGAGATAAAATAAAACTATAAAAGGAAAAAACAATTTAAATTTAATGTATGTGTTACAAGTGAAATGTTTCTACTTAACCCACATCACATCAAATACAAATCTATAAAGGAACACAAAAGCATTTAACTTTCTAATTTTTTTAGACAAAGTCTACATCAGGGACACTTAAGTCCACAAATGTAATTCAGTGCATTATTTTAAAAGGAAAATTAAAGTCAGTCAATGTAATAAAAATAATCCAATAAAAAGGCACTGCTATATATTCATTATACAAATATTCTCATTAGAGAAAACTGGGAAACCATAGATAATTAAAAAACCTGAATTTTTATCATTTGTCCTAGTATCAAAGAAAAAATCCGTATCGGGTATTTGTTTTTTAAAAACTTCCAACTTCCATGCAGATTAAATGACCCCAGTCAAGAAAAATTTATGCTCTTACAAGGCAGTAATTTTCAAAGCAAAAATGATAATCACCTACCTAGAGCCATGCTGGTCTTGAGAAAACTCAACTATGTGTCCAATCAAGTCTCTAAGCTGAAGGTTTGGGAAACGGTTGTTCCTGAAATCTTCCAGTAATCTACTTCGGCCAGAAGGCATAATATCAGACCTATTATACCGAAGCCGAGAAGGAGGAAAGAGCTGGCTGCTGGAGCTAAACAGACTGGAAGTGCTTGAAGCACTTCGGTATTTTGCTTCTGCTCCAGGTGCTGCAGAGATATATCGACCACTACCATTTGTCAGGCCTCCTACAACAAAGCAGCTGTGGTCAGCAAATGTTTTTGACAAGGCCATTCCTCAGATAAGATTACTTCAACTAAAAATTCAATCAAGAAATATTCATTCCACTAACCACTAATTCCCATATGTTATAAAAGGAAATTAAAATTGGAAGAGAAATCTCACACATTTACTTTAATGTGTGTATGGCGATAGGATCTGGGGGAAAAAGACTAGAAAACATGAGAAAAATCAACCTGTATTTGTTCTTAACAGTTTAATTTTAATCATAATTATAACATCTAATGTCGTATGTTCTCAGAAGCTTAGTTTAAAACACAATTATAGCAAGTAACGTCATACATACTAGTATCAACACCAGAACACTAAAGCCACCAACAAAATTTCCAGTTTATTAACAAGGTTACAAATAGCTATCAAACTCAGATTTTAAGTCACTGAAATAGAGTTGGGCTGAAATTTACCTCCAGTGTTAATGGAACACTGAGGGCTAAATCGGTCCTTTTTTTGGACTATATAAAAAAATGCATTAAGTCGTATAAACCTCTAGGTAAAGAAAAACTTTTTTTTTTTTTTAGTAAACTCGGTGCACAAGGTGGGGCTTGAACTCACGACCCTGATATCAAGAGCTGAATGCTCTACTGACTGAGCCAGCCAGAGCCCCAAAAAACCTTCTTGAAGAAGTTAACACACTGATTAATTTTTGAAGTTAAAAAAAAAAACCAAAAAACCCAGTTAACTAATCCAAATTACATCTTATTTTTAAAAATTTGAAGGAATATTCTCCATAAAACACTATTATTTTACCAAGAAATAGAAGTAAACATTTATTTTTCCTAGAACTTTAATCTTGATCATTTGAAACAAATAAAAAACCTCTTTAACTTATATTCCATTCCAAACAAGATAATTAAAGGGTAGTCAATAGAAACAAAAAATACAAGCAGGAAATTGTTACTACAAATAACCATTTAAAAGTACTTGACAGTGTCCTTTTAAAAAAGAAAAATGTATAGAAAACCATAAAGCGCAGATTTAGTAGCTCAAATAAACAAAATCTACCATCAGCTTTATGCTACTATATACCATCTCAATGTAGAGTAATGCTATATATACAATCGAGACAACAAGGCAGGATGTCAAGGACACACTGTCAGTGCAAAGTTGCCAAGTTATACAGAGGCATTTAAAAGCAAAAAGAGTTATAAGGACAAGGAGCAGTAAGAGTTATAATCCTGAACAGTGAATTGCATTAGAACATTCCTCTTTTACTTACAGTCCCCATTCCTCTAGCTTTTTATTGTTGTTGTTGAATTTCCCACCATCCAGATTATACATATTATAATTTATATGACTTTCCAGTCCCCCTTCCAATGTTAAGAGCCACAAAATTACATCCACCTACCTACATGCTAGATACCTGGCACC